CGGGAGAATGGCGGCATATAAATACATGTAATAAATAATAAATAATAAATAAAATAAATTTCTCTCTCTTTTTTTTTTTTTCATTTTCCTTTTTCTCCCCCACCCCACCCCCCAAAAGGAGAAAATTTGATTTTCTCTTGATACAGAAACGATGGCCGTTTGGGACCTAAATGGGCCATTCAGCTTGGATTCGCACTTACGACCGCGTGACTCGCGCTTACGACCCCCGCGACTCGACTTCGGGCGCAGGATTCGACTTCCAACCGTTATTTATTTATTATATTTATATTTCTATACCTCCTTTCTCCCGTAGGACTCAAGGCGGTGTACAGTCAAGAAAAATATAGACACACAAACATCATAAAATTGCTAATTAAAATTATTACTTATAAAAATGGTTTTAAAGTTGAGTCCGGTTCGTGTGGTGTCTCAACTTACGACGGTAGTGTTTTACAGCAGACATTCTGCTCTCAAACGTGGTCGTAAAGCGAGGACTTGGTGTTGTTGTTTTTTTTTCCTGGATTGCATCTCCTGCAAGCTTCAGCTTTTATATAGATTTAGTTCCTTTTTCTCTGCCAATATTGTTTTTATTCCCCTCTCTCAAATAATCTGCTTTTACGCTGAGCCTTTTGTGGGTCTAGTACATTTGCCAAGCTTGCCATAAACATTAAACTTTGGAAACAGCTCCCTCCCGACCGGATAAAGGACTAAAACACCCATCATCCCCAACTAGTCTGGTTTTTTTTTTTTTTTGCCCCCCCCCCTCTTTTAAAACATCCCCGTTTTTCCAACTTAAGAATCAAGAATCACTTTAAAAAAAGCAAGACAGGCGGTGAAGATGAGGTGATGAATGAATTAAATCAGTAAAATAAATGTATTTTTTTAAGCCGCTGCTGTGCCTTTTTTTTTTTCTTTTAGTTTCCTTAGCAAACATTCCAGAAAAACCACCTCGAGTTTAAATAGAGCGCTTGAAACAGTCTTCGAAACGAGGCTGAACCTTTCTTTAAAAAAAAAAAAAACTCATTTTTTAAAAAAAAGAAAGAAGAAAATCCATGACACAGGAATGTTTCTTGCTTGGGAAGTGTAAAATAATTCTTTGCCGCGGGTCGAAAATCCTGGAGTCCTTGGAGGCAAAACTTTTCCCTTTAAACTGCATTTTTTTTTCCCTTGTGGAAAAATGAACCTTTGCCAATCTCTCTCGCTCTTTTTTTATATATATATATATATATATATTTTTGCTCCAAAATTCCTTAAGAGGTGAAGATGTTTTCTTAACAGCTACTTAGGACGACAGTGGAGGCCAAAATTTAAGCCGCTAAGCGAGACATTTGCGAAGGGAGCTTGGCCCTGTTTTACGACCTTTCTTGCCGCAGTTATTAAGTGAGTACCGTGGTTGTTAAGTGAATCCGGCTTGACTGAGGTCGCAAAACGGGATCGCATGACCCCGGGACGTTGCAACCGTCGTAAATTTGAGTCAGCGATGTGCCAGCTCTCTGAATGTTATTCACGTGATGATGGGGATGCTGCCACCGTCATAAGTGTGAAAATTGATCCTCCGTCATTTTTTATCCGGGATGTCGTCGCTTTGAATGGTCGTTAAATGAACTCTTGTAAGGACTATCTGACATACATAAAATCAGGGGGAAATGTCTATAAAGGGAGGGAGGAAGAAAGAGAGAGAGAGAGAGAGAGAAGGAAGGAAGGAAAGAAAAAAGAGGAAGAAAGAAAGAAAGAAGAAAAGAAAAAGAAAGAAAGAAAGAAAGAGAAAAAGAAAGAAAGAAAGAAAGAAACAGGCAAGGAGGGAAGAAAATAGAGGGGAGAGAGGGAGGGAGGGAGGAAAGAAAGAAAAAAGGAAAAAGGAAAGGAAAAGCAGGAAAGGGAAGGAAAAATAGAGGGGAGGGAGGGAGGGAAGAAAAAGGAAGAAAGAAAGAAAAAAGCAGGCAGGGAAGGAGAGAGGGAGGAAGGAAGGAAAGAAGGAAAATAGAGGGGAGGGAGGGAAGGAAGAAAAAAGGAAAGAAAAAAGAAAGAAGGAAGGGAAGGAGGGAGGGAGGGAGAAAGGAAAATAGGGCAGGAGGAAAAGAAAGGAAAAGGAAAAGAAAGGAAAAGCAGCAAAGGGAGGAAGGAAAATAGAGGGAAGGGAGGGAGGGAGAAAAAGAGAAAAAGAAAAAAGGAAAAGCAGGGAAGGAGGGAGAGAGGGAGGAAGGAAGGAAAATAGAGGGGAGGGAGGGAAGGAAGAAAAAGGAAAGAAGGAAGGGAAAGAGGGAGGGAGAAAGGAAAATAGGACAGGAGGAAAAGAAAGGAAAAGGAAAAGCAGCAAAGGGAGGAAGGAAAATAGAGGGGAGGGAGGGAGAAAAAGAGAAAAAGAAAAAAGAAGGAAAAGCAGGGAAGGAAGGAGAGAGGGAGGAAGGAAAATAGAGGGGAGGGAGGGAAGGAAGAAAGAAAAGAAAGAAAGAAAGAAAGAAAGAAAGAAAGAAGGAAAGAAAGAAAAAGAAAGAAAGAAAAGACTCTAGAGAGGTGAAGGGGCTTGTTAGCTTTGGAGAAGGACGCATTTTTGCAATTTTGCTGCTCCAACCAACAAAAACGGGAACATTCGCTTTTCAACGAGGAGATCTTCTTCGCCGTTGTTTTGGGAATCTTTTCAGCGTTGAGCAGGTCTCGATCTCGGCACCCAGACACGTTGGGCCTTGCCCGGAGTTGCTAGTCCACATTCCTAGGGCCTTTTCTTCTGCTCACAAACCCTCAAACACCCCCCCACACACACACACACACACAATTTAGGAGCCTCTAGTGGCAGGAATGGGGCACGCCCCATGCCCGCCTCGGGATGAAATTTTGGAGGGGGCACGATGCCACGCTGCGTTTAGGAAACCTGGCGATGTGAGCCGGCTCCTTTAAAAACAAAAATAAAATCTCACCACTCTTGATAATGTCCAACACTGAAAGGTTGTTTTTATGGGTTTTTGGGCACTGTGCATGACCTCACACATACACAACTATACAAACAGGGACACAAACACACAAACACTTTTCCTCCAGGGGCATGGTGTAAGCCTAAACAGGGGGTTGGACTATATGACCTCCAAGGTCCCTTCCAACTTTCTATTCTATTCTATTCTATTCTATTCTATTCTATTCTATTCTATTCTATTCTATTCCTTTCTCTTCTCTTCTCTTCTCTTCTCTTCTCTTCTCTTCTCTTCTCTTCTCTTCTCTTCTCTTCTCTTCTCTTCTATTCAATTCTATTCTATTCCTTTCTCTTCTCTTCTCTTCTATTCCTTTCTCTTCTCTTCTCTTCTCTTCTCTTCTCTTTTATTCTATTCTATTCCTTTCTCTTCTCTTCTCTTTTATTCTATTCTATTCTATTCTATTCTATTCTATTCCTTTCTCCTCTTCTCTTCTCTTCTCTTCTCTTCTCTTCTCTTCCTTTCTCTTCTCTTCTCTTCTCTTCTATTCCTTTCTCTTCTCTTCTCTTCTCTTCTCTTCTCTTCTCTTTTATTCTATTCTATTCCTTTCTCTTCTCTTCTCTTCTCTTCTCTTCTCTTCTCTTTTATTCTATTCTATTCTATTCTATTCTATTCTATTCTATTCTATTCTATTCTATTCTATTCTATTCTATTCCTTTCTCTTCTCTTCTCTTCTCTTCTATTCTATTCTATTCTATTCTATTCTATTCTATTCTATTCTATTCTATTCTATTCTATTCTATTCTATTCCATTCTATTTTAGGGCTTTGCTGATTTCCAAACGAGCTAGCCGGTTTTCTTAAGATTCGAACTTACGACGGCATTTGTGGGGAAAAAAGCTTACGACTGTGACGGCCATCCCAGCTTTACGTGATCCAAATTCAGACGCTTGGCCAAACGGACTCGTATTTATGACAGTCCCCGGGGTCGTGCGATTCCCCCTTTTGCGACCTGAGCAAAATTCAACGGGGAAGTCGGATTCACTGAACGACTGTCTCAGGAATGTAGCCAGGGCAGGCGATTCGCTTAACGACGGTGGCAGCGACGACAACAACAACAACAACAAAAAAGAACGCAAGCCTTACTTAAACAAAGGCCTCGCTCAGCCGCATCAATCCGGGGCTCCGTTGCGGGTCGTAAATCGAGGACTTACCTGTATTCAATTCTGCATTATTATTTTTTTAAGATGGTTCGTTTCAGCCAATCATCAGCTTGGATCCTTGGGGAGCCAATCAGAAGCAGCTCAGGAAATTAAAAAAAAGCTGGAGGGACTTATTCCACATATGTGATAGACTGCTCCTGGCTGAGGAGGCTTCCCTTAAGATTTCTGGCTCCTGAAAATTGCTTTACCCAACCGGTTCGAGATTAATCTAAGCCTGCATTTGTCTGCCAGCAATAGCCAACTAGGAAGCTGACAATCAGGGCTACAAGCTCTACCCTACATTTAATAATCCGTGTTACCCCGTATTTCTCTTCCTTAATTCCTTCCCGGAGGCTGTCGGATGCGACTTTTGTGCCTTGTGAGTTACACAATTAATTTTCAACTTTGAGCTCCGAAATGTATTGATTCAGTCCGGGAGTGAACATGGCTTCCTCAGTTTCCCCGTTCGACTTCCCTTCTCAAATAGGTCTGCATCTTAAGGGGTTAATACAGAGAGTTCTCGACTTAACGACCACAATCGAGCTCAACATTTCTGTGGTTAAAGTGAGACATTTGTGAAGTGAGTTTTTGTCCTATTTTACGACCTTCCTTGCCACCGTTGTTAAGAGAGTCGCCGCCGCTGATAAATTAATAAATCAGTTGTTAAGTGGAATCGGGCTTCCCCATTGACGTGGTTGGTCGGAAGGTCACAAAAAGGGGGATCACATGAACCCGGGGACGCTACGAGATAGTTGCCGAGCGTCTGAATTTTGACCACGCCACCCTGAAGACGCTGCATCGGTCGTAAGTGTGAAAAACGGCCCTTTTTTCAGTGCCGTTGTAACCTCAAATGGTCATTAAACGAGCTGTTGTAAATCGAGGACTACTTGTCGCCATGCCGAGGTGAAAATAAATAATTTATTTCTGACACACACACTTTCGGAGACACCCCCTCCCCGCCCCAAAGATCCTTAGCTCAGATCTCCGGAGTTCCTCTCAACGACGTGAAAAAGAGGCGACGTCTTAACCATCCCCGAAATCCGAGCGCGGAAAAGGAAGAGTCTGAAAACAGCCTGCCCAATTGTGCTGTCTCACCGCCGTTTTTCCCGGGAAGTGGCCGCCGACGTAGCAGTTGGCCGCCGGAATCTGGAGATGCTTATTGGAGACTTGGAATGGACTCGGGGGGGGGCTCAGATGCACCCTTTTTCACACCAAAAACGGGACCAGAGAAGTAATCCTTGCTGGTTTGTACGCAGTGAAGGGGCCACCGCCGAAAAGGCCCTGCTTTGTGCCAAACTCCGGCCAAGACACGCAACGGAAACACGGTCTTTATTTGTGGGTCTTTCCTCGGATACCTAGTATTCGTTTCAGCCACTGTCACAGACACACAAATCTCTCTTTCCAAGTCTTGACGAATACAAATTCCCAAATTTAGGAAGACGTCCTCCCACCCAATACATTCAAACGGGAACGAAGGAGGAAGACGCCTCTCTTAGGCATCTTGGTCGGAAGTTTCATTTTGAGGGTTCGCCAGACGAGCGGGACTCCGTGCCGGCACCCGTCCACGATTCGGCGTAGGCGTTCACGACGTAAACGGGTAAATCCATCTCTTTCTCGCGTCCCAGCTCCAGTTTTTCCAGATTCGAGTTTTCCGGCTCTTTCGGATCTGCTGGGTGGTGAAATTCGACTCCAAATTGATAGACCGCCGTCCCAATCGTGGCTCCCAACATGGGGGCGGCAATGGGAACCCACCACCAACAGTGTCCGGCACTGGAAGAGCAAAAAGAAGAGAGGAAGGGTAAAGTTAGACAGATTGAGCGACAAATAGTCTTGAACAGATGAAGTCCACCACATATGATGAAATGTGCCTGTTTCTTTACGACCTTTTTTGCCATGGTTTTTAAGCGAATCGCTTCAATTCTTAAGTTCGTACCACCCGGCTTCCCCGTGGACGTCGCAAAAGGGGATCACATAACCCCCGGGATATTCTGATCAAAATTCAGATGCTCTGCAACCGACTCGTATTTATGACGGGCGCAGCATCCCGGGGTCACGTGATCCCATTATTTTGCGACCTTCTGACCAGTCAAATCCACGAGGAGACTCTGGATTGGCTGACCAACCGTGGTACTAAGTTAACGCCGGGAATCCGCTTCGCGGCTGCGGCAAGAAAGGTCGTAAAACAGCTGTCTCGCTGAGCCACAGAAATTGGGGGCTCCATTTGTGGTCGTAAATCCAGGACTACCTGTATAAAATATAGAGAGGGGAAAAGGAGACTTGATAGTACAGTGGTTTAATGCACCCTGTTATTAACACAGCTGCCTGCAATTTCTGCTGGTTCGAATCTCTCCAAGGCTCAAGGTTGACTCAGCCTTCCATCCTTTCTAAGGTAGGTAAATTGAGGACCCAGTTTGTGGGGGCAATAAGCTGACTTTGTATAAAAATATACAAAAGGATGAAGGCTATTGCTTAACGCATTGTAAGCCCCCGTAAGTCTCCGGAGAAGGGCGGCATATAAATCAAATTAAAAAAAAAAAAAAAAAAGGAAGGTGTATAATTACTGAATTTTGAGCTTCGGGCTATTTTCTGCAAAACGAAAATTTAGAATTAAATTGTAAAATTTAGCAGGCGCTAGTTAACAGTTTCTGCGTTTGGGGATTAGCACACCTGGCTTGG